GGCACATTCCATCTTAAGTAAGCTTTATACCGAGTATGCAGCCATGCAGAAACTTTGATAAAATTTGAATGTATTGACTCAGGGTCAAGATCACCTTTAATTGACGAGTTGGGTTGGAGTTGAACTCTCAGCTTTTTTTTTTTATTTGACCAAACTCTTTAAATTTTTAAGAGAAATCTTCACGTGCAAATCTGTTCTATCTCACTCWTTTCTCTAAGTGATAATTGGCCAAGGGAAGGAAATATTTCATGGCTGTTGGAAAGGCAGCTGRGGAGAGCAGGAATGGAAGTCAGACAGGAGCTCATCATCAGTGGAGACACAGAGAGAAGCTCTTGAGGACCAAGTACTCACCAACTGAAATGCCTAAATAGAGCTAAGTGCTATAATTTCATCAGTCCTTTGGAAGTAAAAACCACCGTGTGTTTGGCTGCTGGGCAAAATTGCTTCAGGTTTTCATCTCATCTTGATTTAAATAAAATAGGAAAGCTCTCACTGGGTTAAACATGGCTCTTACTGACAGATTTTACAATCTGAGCTGTGCACTTGGAGTGGCAAGACAGACTGCTGACAACTCCTTTGCCATGGATCAGTATGGGCTGCAGAAAAAAAACCCCACATTATCTGCCTGCCAGCCCTGTGGGAAACACACAAGGGAATTACTGCAGACACTGCTCATTTCTGCAAATGGAAGGAGAAGAGCTCCCCTGACAAGACAGAAAGAGATGAGAACTCAAAGTACACCAAATGATGAAAAGCAATAAATCAGGGCTTCAAGTAACCCACRTGGATGATTTTGCAAATCTCATCTKTTCTCTGCCAGGGGCTGCAGAMATGAAGGAAACCAGGCTAAGTTCCATACCCRCTTTACTGCTAAATTCAAAGTATTTATTTCACTGTTTTAAAACCCAGAMAACTCCACATTTTTAAAAATTATATTTGTGAAGTCAGATGARCAGCAGACAGATCATCTATCCACTGAGCAGATATAAGTAGCAATACTTCAAGGTTTATTACATTTTCTTGCCTGCTCACCTCATTCCTAAAATGGGTACCATATTTCATTAAAAGGAGTTAATTATTTTCATCTCTGTTCTACTTCCAGCCCTTTCTCCAATGCTTCCAACCACGTTATCCTTTAGYGCAAATCCTATCAGTGACTCCTGTGTTTGTTGTGGAACACGTCAGAGAACATTGCACAGTCCTTCAATAGATGTCAAATGTAAAAGAACCAGGGGTGAAGAACTCCAGATTCTGTGTTTCATTCTGAAACATGAGATGTGTTTACAGATCAATGCCCTTTGGAATTATTTTCTGGAAATATGTGTGGCAAATGTGCTTTTTTTTCTTATAATCTGAAATTTAACATCAGAACCTTCATTTCTGCCTGCCCTGTAAATTGCTGGCACAGGGACTTATGGAAACTAAAGGCTGGCTGGACCTGTACCTTCCTTTCTTGCAGATTTCCAGCTTCTGCAGTGGAAATTCCAGCAGGAAACAACTGATCTAGTCTCTTTTTTTCTTTTTAAGCTGTTTATTTAAAAATCCTAGAAAGGTGTTTGAGAATTGCTGTGCTTCCCTGCTTTGTAACCAGCTTTTTGCCCATCTTAAAATAACTCTTGCTCTGGATTACAGGGGCTGGCATTCAGTTACATTGGTCTCTAGTGTTACACATTGAGGACAGACCATCCATGGGCCCTCAGTGCTTCACGGGCACAGGGACTGACCCCAGGCACAATCCCACAGATGACTTCTTTGGACAGAGCTCAGGAACCCAAATTATCCAGTGTGTAAGGCTATTTCTTGGTGCAACCAGGCTAATGTATCTTAGTGTCACCCATTTATCTTTAAGCAAATGATTTATCTTAAGAAAAAAAATAAACACCCTTGTTCATTCAGCTCTCCTGAAACATTGCACATAAATAGCTGAAAAGGGCCAGTTAAACTATTGTATCYATTGCTAAAATTATTGTGTTCATATTTCATTATTGGCAGTATTATATCCACCCAGAGAAGTTTGGCTTTGGGGTTTTAATATTAAACTTTAACAGCATTTACATTTGTTTGTTCTGCATTTTATTTCTTGGACACAACAGGACCAAAAAGCACAGAAATTACTGTTCATTACTAGTCCCATTTTGCCCTCAGGTTTGTGCACATCTGATTTARGTTCATGGTGAAGCAGTGCCTGCTATTTGATTACCTGAGTATTTAAAAGATCAATACAAGCACGTGTAAGGAGACTGAAAATCTGCAAAATTAAAAACTTCTCATAAGCCTACCTTGACTGAGATTTGTCCTCTTCAGCAGCTGCATGCCAGCCACCAGAAGCTGTATTTTTATTATTATAATTATTTTTAAATGAGATACCCTCACTGAAGACAGACTGTTGCTTTACCTTGTTCCTGAGGTGCAGGGGCACAACCTGCCTCTCCAAACTGCTGTGCTGCTTTCCTGCCTTCAGAGCGGAGCAATTTGTACCCCTTTCCTTCCCCATCTTGCCYGCAAACACAGCTGAGCCAACATGAAAGCAAATCCCAGATAAAGGGTTTGGGAACCGGACACCAGGCCTGTCTCACCCTGCTCCTGGGGGCAATGCAACTGCTGCCCCTTCCTCAGGGCATGGCACGGTCTGGCAGTGTGTAAATAAAGAGCCAAAATGCTCTATTTACAGGAAACACAATGCCTTGCTGCTGTGAGGGGTTAAATATAGAGAGCAGGCCACTAGTGGCATTTAAAATAGCACTAGCTGGACAAGATAGTGCAATCAGAAAATAGCCTAAGCTTTTACTGTGGTTCCATGTGCAGGCTTTTCATATCCCTCCTGCTACTCGCAAATGAGCTGAAGCAGTGTCTTTCACTGACAGAGATCATTTGCTTTTGAATAAATTGCATTGCTTGACATTTATTCAATATTTTGAAATACACACTGTGTATTTGCAAACCTTTTTGCTGTTTACTGTGCACACCTGTAATTTGAAAAGTAACACAACATCACTCTTAGGGTTTTAAACTCCTAATTCTTTCTACCTGAGTTTCACAGCCAAGTTTCCAGCTGTTACCCAAGGCCAAGGCACAGAGCAGGTACCCCCATCCTGCAGAAAGGAACCTCCATCCTCTCCTCTGCCAGCTCTACACATCACCGGTACCAACACAAGGCTCTGCAAAGAGTAGGGCAGGAGCTTGCAGGGAAGGGGTGGGAATCTTCAGCTGCTTCCTCCTCAGCTGCTCCCTCCTCCCAGCCCATATGCAGGATTTGTAGCTATGCTGATGTGTCCAGACATATAAGCTGGACTGGGCGCAGTTTAGACTTGAGCAAGAGAGGAAACAAAGAGAGGCTATGACTCAGAGCGCCAGTCTCCAGCTAGGCAGCTCCARAGCAGCCAAATGCACTTTCCCTTATTAGGCCACATCATGAAACCTCACTTTGTTCTCAGTTGTACCTAATTCTGCACTAGTAGCACTGACTTAAAGAATCAACTTTTAAAGCACCACTTGGCAGAGTGCAGCTCTACTTCCAGCTTTGCTTCTTAGAAGAAGCCCRTAAGTTATAATTAAATTTGACTCCACCTACTCTGAGCAACACTGAGCAGTGTAACATGAATCAGGCCCTTTTACCAGSAGATGACGTATTAAAATCCTAGCAGCTGTTTAACTTCCTGTAAATACTACATTTTAAAGACTATAATCTCAATTTCCACTGTGCCACCTCAGTTAATGAGGTGGTTTTGAGCTGGATTATTTTAGTGGACTGCTAAGAGAAAACATAAAAAAGATAGGGCCTTATATCTCCCACAGACTTCACTTAGAGAGCTCAGTTCTAAAAAWCCACAGGTGATTTTCCTCAATTTAAGTATTTTTGTCACATGATGTCAGATGTGTCCTCAGCTGAAATGTAACCCTGCATGAGCAATGGGCCRCCAGAGTGAGTTCATGCAAGAATTATGCAGGCAGCTGAACTTTCACACCTCTTCTTCCAGAATGCCTAAAATGCTGCTCCCAAAGCTGGWGGAGCCAAAAGGTTACAAGTCATTGTGTATTCTTACACAGTGCTGTTGACTGTGAAAATGAAACTAAATGAAAGATCAACCTTCTACCTACAGCTAAGCAGACAATCCACAGTCCAATTGTTACACGTGCTGCAGGGCAATTTGCATGCTATATTGTTATTTAAAATAAAGAGTGACAATTCTTAATGACCACTCTTAACCTGCTTCGTCAAAAAACCCAGATTTTCAGATGGGTTTAAACCCAATTTCCAACCCACTCTTATGATTCAAAGTGAAGCTCAGTAAGTAACCAATTGCCGTGAGCATATCTGTTTTGGTATTCACAAATTTGGGGTTTTATACCATAAACACACTATCAGGTAAAATAYCTGCATTGGTAAAATTACCAAGTCAAGTGTAACTTCTGGATTTGAGTTAGGACCCTTCCCTCCCTAGCCCTCATTCTGCACTGACACTGCTGCTTTCATTTTACACAGATGTAGCTGCAAAATGCTTTATATCCCTTGTGTAAATGTAAATTGCTAATCACTCAGAACAAAGAATTGCTTAAACTGTTCACAAAGTGACAGGAACCCTACTGACTCTATGAACACAAAATGTACTTCTAAATACCAAAAAATATGTACTTCTGCACACGAAATTCAGTTAATTGTTAATAAAAGAATAATGATTTTGCAGAGGTTAGGATCTGTACACTTCTGTAAGACAATCACAGCAGACACAGTGTTATACCTCAATGTTATAAACTTTTCTRTTAAATGGTGGCTTCCAGGGTGAGKGGGAAAAATGCTGAGCCAAATTCCTTTCTCAAGGATGTGATACAACAACAATATCAGAAGGGAGGACATGAATGGAGAAAAACACGTCTTGGTCTTGATGAGAAAACAGCTATCAGACCATAACATTGCATTAACAAACCCCTGTGTTTAGAAGGGTGTATTTAAGACCAATTACTGCCTTTACATTTCCAGCTTATAAAATCACAGGACTAAATTAGACTTCCATATTATTTTATTTCCCTCTTAAAATATAGCATTGAAGTCCTGCACACATATAAATACCCCTACAGTTTCTTACACACTTTCTATCCATCGTTACTTAAAGTGCCCAACTGTGAACATTAAAAGTAAAAACATTACTGTTAAGAGTGTCTATACTTGTAGGAGAACTGGTATTCTGACAATGCAGGCCACTGATTTTACAAAAATCACCTGCAAAAGAATACACCTTTAACAACACGCATCAATATTAACCCTGAAGTCTTATTTTTTTTTCCCACTCAACTGATCTAAAAGCAATTAATGTACAGGGTTTATTTTTGAAACATGTCTTTTACATAGTGTAAGAATAAAGGATAAATGCATTAMTTTCTTTCTAGCTCCCTCCTTTCCCCACAAAGTGTTTACTGTGTCCCAAGCTGCTATGTTGATTAAAACCAGTTGAAAAGAGCTCCGGAAATGCATGCAACTTAAAATTCACTTAAACACACTTTCAGTTATAAAGTCTGAGAGATTTGAATTTCAGCACGTGGCTACGGTTCAGTTGGGTTACTGGATGTGTTTGTCGTGGTGGCGAGGTTGGTAAACACTTCTTCCTTCGTTTCAGGCTGATGTCTTTCCATTTTGCTTTCCTCTTGAGCATTTTTGTTACTGCTATCTCCCTTGCTCTTGACTACCACAGGTTCAATCTCCATGATTTCCTGTGGTGCCTTAGGCTCTGGTAAATTTGGCTGAAGTCCATCAACTTGAACAGGTTCTGGGACATCTTCTGCTTTCTGTTCAAGTTTTTCCAGAATGGTCTGGACCTTCCTTACGCCATCTCTCCTGGCCTGGCGCACATCCGCACGACCCTCAGGGTCCACTGAGTCTAGGGCTAGCAACTCTTTGGTCAAATACTCTTCAATCATCAAGTACTTTTTGTCAGTTTTCTTGCCTTCAAAGGAGTTGACTGCCTGCTCAAGCATTTGTACTTTCTCCAGGATTGCTTCCACTTTCAAAACACCGGGATGCTTTTGAGGTTCTCCCGTTTCCATCGTCTTCGGCGGCGCCGCTTCTTCAGGAGGAGGCTTTTCCTGGGGWGGAACAACCTTAGGAGGGGAAGGAGCCTTTTTATCAGCTTTCTCTGCCATGGCTGGAGGCTTCTGGGGTGGCAGTTTAGGATCTGCTTCTTGGTGGGTGACCTGAATTGGGATATATGTGGAGGGTGCCTCYGTTTCGGGCGGTGGGGCTGCCTTGTTGTCAGGCTTGGTTTCAGGAGGAGGGGCTGGTCTTGGTGGCTCCTGAGCTGGGACTTGCTGCTGAGAAACCTGGTGAGCAAGGCAAGTTTTGTGTTGAGACACAACGCTCCTTATTTCCTTCCAAAGAACAAGTAATCTAACGTCTAATTTTCTGTATACTAGTAGTGCAATTTCACACACACGAGATTATTAATCTTCCCTTTAGCATTGCTGAATTTTACTGCTTTAAACTGAAAAACAGCACTGTGCTGAACAACTATTATTTTCACCAATATTAAATTTCAACTCACCCAATTGTGCCAATGTTCAATAAAATCAGCCCCATGAGCAGTTTTGTAAGACCTTTGAGCAAAGCCTTCAGCAAACTTAAGTCAGCAAGATTTCYTGCAGCTAACTGCAGCACAGTCAAAATTTCATCCCCTGTGTCATTAATTAAGGGCTCATCTTTCTTGAAAAGCCAACTAACTTTGCTGAGTTTTAATCACACTTTGGGCTATTCTCATCCTGTTCCCGTTTTCAGGACATTCCTTTTTTTGTTAGTGCTTATTTTAAATCTTTAACCTATTTACATGCAGAGGTTACTGTGTCAATCTTATTACACTGCAGTGATTAGAGAGTATCCTTGGGATTACTCCAGATCTGTCATCAAATCAAAAATCTCTTGAAACTGAGATTAGTTTTGAAATTTTAGCAGAAAACTGGAATTTGTCGTAACTGCATTTTCCTCCCCCTGACACGCYCTTTAATTACTTGTGCCCATATAGGATTTAAATGGCTGGAGTAAAATATTTATATTTATTTAAACCAAATAAGTAAATGCCTGCACTGACAAACGTTTACTGCTTTACCTGTCAAACATAAAATTTGATTAGGGAGTGCAAACTCCCACCCACAAAAATAAATTTGCACTGACCTAGAGTATACCATTAAATCTCAATCCTTCCTTGTTTTGTCCTAGCACCTGGGTTTTCAAAAATATTAACCTAATTCTGCTCCTGTCATTTTTAATGTGAAACACCTCCAGAGAGGAAATCAAGGCTTGTTTCTGTACATACCCYCTTCCACACACTCACAGCTGTCTAATTCCCAGTAGACTTTTAATTGCAGTTTTAGGAAAAAATTTAACATGGAAAAAATGTGCAATGAGCAACAGGTTCTATGACCAAGAACATGCTTCGAGTCAGAAAAATAAAAAGCTCCAGATTTTGCTTATCCTCTTTSTTCATAGCCAAAATTACTTTGTGCATCTGATGCTATCCCTAAATGGTTGTGAGACATCACTGAAGTATATTTACATAGATGTCACAAATCCCACAGACCTGATTTTCTTCACATAAACATAATGCAACACCAGTGACCTCAGYGTAATTACACCAAATTACACTGTGACAAGAGAAGATCAAATCRTGTGTTAAATCATATTTCAGTGATCCACCACAGTCCTGACAGCTGGAAAGGCAACTTGCTGCTTATCTCAGATCTTCCAGTCTGTTTAAATCTAGAAATGGAGATTGCTCTACACGCTCTCATGTGTGTGTTAGTACAAGCTCATTTCTCATTTCTAGCCAYGCTCCAGGCCCTGGCAGGTGATTCACTCCCCATTCTACATACCTGGGGTCTGTCTACGACTGTCTGCACTCGGATGGGAGCTGGGGGCTGCATCTGGCTGCTCAGCCTGGCCGGGGAGCTCTCCCGGCTGGAGGCGCCTCTCTGAGCCACCCTGAACGGAGACTGCGCCCGCGCCGCCTTGGGCTCCCTGTCCTCGGGCTGGATTTTGTGGAACACCGGCTGGTGGGCTTGGAACTCGCTCTGCTGGGCAGGGTAGTGGGTTTTCTGTGCCTGGTGGTAGGTTTGTGCMGGCTGGCGAGGCATGTTCTCGTGGATCACAGGGATGGGGATGTAACCGCGGGGAAGCGGGTGGCTCCCTGCGTTGGGTCTGCCAGAGGGCTGAGGGGAAACTGTTGGAGACTCAGGTGCTCCAGGAGGTTGAGGCTGTCACGAAAACAAAAATGCATTATTAAATTTTAACCATTTTGTGCTCACRATACTTTCCATTTCCAAAGAGTAAAAGGAGGCGCTCATCATAGAAACTGAACTTGTGTTTCCGGCATGCAAGGACTCCATTTCTCTGCTTTTTGGCCAAGGGCCTCACTAGACAAACCACAGAAGTTGTGAGAGCATCATTACAACAAGCAGGAACCTGAGCTACAGCATTCCCAGCCCTGAAATGAGCAGGGAGTGGATGCTCAGTCAGAACGTTTGCTGCTTTTGCATGGTTGTTCCTGTCTAAACCTGTTAAATTTGAGGTAAACTAAAGCTAAGCAAACAAATTACGTGCTGGAGACAAACCCAAAGCCCTGAGAGCACACGACACTGACTCCTGAAGCTGGCCACACTGACAAATTCTGTATGTTTTGCTGGGTTTTCTTTTAGGGAATGCTATTAATTTGGAAGCAGGCTATGGCAATGCAGGCATGGCTGATTCCTCTTTCTCTCCTCTCCTGTGAAAGGTCAGGCTGGAGCTGGGAGAGGGGAGGAGCAGAAAAGGCAGGAGAGAAGGGGAACAAGACCCCTCTTCTGGTGCTGACAAACTGCTCCTCTGCTCATGGAACAGCAGCCTTGAATAAATAAATGTTGGTTTGCACTAGAGCAGCATCAGTGGCGCAGTTTGGGGTCACCAGACAGGCTCTGGTCACTCAGCACCCACACTGCATTGCCCAAACATGCAGCAGCACTGGTTGTCTCCAAGTGGCACAGAAAACACATTCCCAAAACCACTCTGCAAAAGCTTTACAGAGTGGGAAGAAGGAAAAGCTGAGCCTTTTGTCCAGGTACTGCATGGACAGGCATGGTTAGTCAAAACAGCTTGAGAAAGCTGCCAACAGGATTTTAATTACATTCTTCAAACTCCAAATGGGCTTCAGAGAAGATGCCACTACTGCTGAATTACAGACCTGATATGTTTTCAGCTTGGTGAAGAGGCTGAATTTCCTGCTCATCTTACTTTGAATAAAAATGAGGCTTATATTTCCATATATTACAAAAACACCAATTTGCTAATTCTCTACAGAGAGCAGGCCAAAAATTCCACCTTCTGAAACACGAAACAAGCAGGATGACTTTCCCAAAGCTCATAATATCCTCACATGCCATTGAAGGACAGAAATTGCCAATTTTCACTTTTAAATCTGCATATATGTAAATCCATGCACTTTATACAACTGAAATATGAAATTAGGAAGCAAAGAACTTCTGAAGTGGCCTGGGTTGTTAGCTGACTGGACACTCATCTCTCCCACTTTGACTCATGGTGCAGAACACGAGAKGCTTGTCTGTACTCTCCATTTGTAGGGGAACCTGCACAAACCCTAAAACAACCCTCCCCTGCCACGGGGCCTGCTCAGCTCAGCGCTTATCTCTGCARAATCATTCCAGAACCGGAGTGGGTGATGCTAGAAAAAAACCCATCCATATTTATGCCACGGTGACCGTGCACTTTCCGTACTCTGGGAGAACGCAACCCTGCGGCGAGTTTGTGCAGGATAAACTGTGACACTGTGCAGAGCTTGCTGAGAGCAGAGCTGCTGGCTGCTCACCTCGGGTCCGTGCGTGGCCGGCATGGCCGGGGCCGCAGCTGCCGGTGTCTGTCCGCATTGCTGATCGGCCGCAGCCGCCTCGGCCGGGCCCCGCGCCGGCGACTCGGGGCCACCCTGGGCCCCCCTGAGCGGGGGCTGCGCCTGCCCCGGGGCCGGAGCCGCCTCTGTCTTGTACCTCTGCTGCGGGGAGGAGAAGCAGGGGTGCTGCTGCCGGCCGTCGATGCCCTCGTGGATGACGGGAATGGCGATGTAGCCGGCCCGGAGCTTGGGGTAGCCCACGTGTGCTTCTCTGGYCACCGGCTGCTTGGGGCTGTCGCGAGAGGGGCCATTCGCTGAGGACTGGCCCTCCTGGAAATGAAAAACATCACAGAGCGCTTGTTGGTGGCTCAATAAACCCAGCTGCACTAAAGGTCTGCCCTAAAAGCAGCGTTGGCTGTGTATGAGGAGCTCAGACCCTCTCAGGGGTGAGGGCAGCCAACAGCGGGTGCTGACACTGCAGGCAAGGGGAGGAAACTGAAAAATCTGCTTATGTGGGGAGCTTTCACCCCCACTTCTCACAAACAYTCACTTGTGCTCTGAAATACCTGCCCAATTCCAACTGGGTTCCTTATTTAYCATGCAGCACAAGCACTTAGCCATCAGCCCACCCTCTCAGAGGGAGCTCATCCAATTCAAACAAGTGCYCACGGGACCAGAGAGAGGCATTTCCTCAGCACCTCTCAGAACACATCTGTGCTACATCTGAAAAGACACTTGCAATGAAGATTAATCCCAACAGAAGCGCAAATTTGGTTGGTTTTATTCTTCCCACTGGCTGTTTGAAGAGATACTGACACTGCACACTGAAAATATATTCACTTCCAGCTAAGGAGGACATGCTTCAGTAAATATGAGGGAGAGGGAAGGGAAAGACAGCATAGCTTAACAAAGAAGAAAACACTGAAAAGCAAGATTTAAAAATCCCTGTGYTGTACATTCACTGGACAATGTCAAAGCTGGGTGGAAGTGGTTTGTTCTAAGAGCCCTCACAAGTCCTCTAGTAAGTTCTTCCTGCATCGGTCATTCTATTTTGAGACCCTGCAAGGGCCAAGTTCCAGATGTATCTCTAAGTCAGATCATATAACAAGCACCTCTGTCATTCAGAGGGTAATGTCATTATTCAGTAAGAGGAGAATTTAATAAGGGGACATATGGTGCAAGTGTTGGAAACCCTATTTTTAAAGRGGTGTTTAAGCTGCAAAAATATTTCATGTTGCTCCTGTAGACATTAACATACTAATTCATTAGGAATTTGCTGTTTTACCAACCAGATTATCAGCGTTCTCCCTATATAATAGTATCACCTTTAAAAGTAAATTTCTCTTAGCAAGAAAACTGCATAGAATAAAGGCTGTTATTTATATAAGCAAACGAAGACAAAACACACAGAAAGGAACAAGTTCAAAGTCCGAGCCCCAGTGTTCCATTCCCTTTTACTCATTAAAAAAAAAAAAAAACAAACCAAAAAACAAACACTCACCCAAAAAACAACAACCTGCACAAAGGAAGAATTCTATAAGAGGCACAGAGGAGAGCCAAGGCCTAGAAAGTTCGCAGAGAGGAGCAATTTGAAATTGGCTTCCCCAGCTGCAGAACAAGGATGATCTCACACCAAGGTCTGCACCGGGATCCACGGATGAGTCATTTCAAAGCCTCCCTACCAGGAAACCACATTCCTCTGCTGCCGGGGGYTTTCAGAGCCCCCCACACCAACAGYGCTSGCTCTTCCACCTCCACCAGCACAACCCCGACCCCGCAGCTCTCTCTGCAGGGAGATGTGCACCCCAACACCAGAATTTGTGGGATATCAATCTGAGGGGCGCTCAGCCGACAGCAATGCGGGGCAGAGGGGGAGCAGAGGGAGTTTGGAGGGCAGCAATGGTTCRTTCCCAGCAGAAGCGGCTCCCCCGGCCCCGCAGCTGCTCCCGGCCCCGGTAACCCGAGCGCCGTCACCCCGACCGCCTTAACGGGCTCCCACCGCTATTAAAAGAGATTCGCTCACCTCCAGCGCCTCCGTGGGAAGGAAGGGTCGGGACTGCRAGGGGTTTAGGGCTTGGGAGGGCCAGCAGCACCTGCAGATGCCCTGGCATGGGGAGGTTGTCAGCCCAGCGTGCTCTGCTCCACTGGGTGTGCAATACTTCTGGGGTCTGTGTTGTCTTTAATGCCTCTGTTTGGGGATAAGTCCTCCAATTTTCTGGAATAATCCACGATTATAAATCGTTCACATGGACAGTGTTCCACTCCTCCCAGCCTGCAGAAACCCCCCAGGTCTCCAGCAAGGGATTCCCCTCCCTCGTGTTCACGTTCAGACCCGTAAGGTTGCCCTTGTTTTGAACCTTCTTAGCAATCTCAGAAATCTGCCACTGCAACTTCAGCCCTGCTAAGAAACACAAAAGAAGAGCCCAAACCAAGCAAAATCAGGTTGGACTGCTTTTTCAAACCACCCAGTTCACAAATTAAGTAAAACCTCTGTCAATACTTCGGGGGGTTTTATTTTGCTGGTTTTTTCTARTGCAAGTGCTAGCCCATCATTAAGTGCTACAACATAGACCATAGTCCCATAATTTCTCACKTATTCTTACAGCTTCAGCCAACCTGTGCTGCTCCTGGGGAAAGTTAGTGTTCCAAGTTGGTCCTTTGTCACAAGCTTTTTTTCCCTGTAGTCAGGTCTAACCACAGAGGCCTCTGAATCGCTCAGTCATACTGGAACAGCCCTCGCTGGAAGAACAAACGCAGCGTCCTTGTTTTTCCCACCATCAGTGCCTCCAAGGCAGAGATCAGGTTTGGGAAAGGTGCTCTCATCACAACTGCACTTCCTGATCCACATTGTTCCCTTCAACACTTAATTAATACTCAACTCTACAAACAGTTGCTTACATTAGCCAGTGTGTATCACCACATCTCCAACATTCTTTCCTTCCTGTTTCTGGTCCTCCCACTGTCCTACAATCACAAACACGCACAGTTCACGTACTCTGAAACTCCCATGGCTGGGGAATGACACCTCAGCCCAAGTCTGAGGAGGTCCTGGGTTCAGGGAGAGGCTGCCCGTGGTTTGGGTCTGTATTTAGTGAGAATCCAACACACRGCGAGTGAGTGCACATCCCAATGTCCTGTCTCCAGAGTTCTGGCTAAAGCAGTTCTGTTTTGTGCAGGGGAGCCTGTGTTTCCAGCCTGGACAAACAGGTTCTGGAAGACTTMAGGAGAAGCTCAGATGTGCCTGGGGACACTGTGTGAAGGAGGAAGAATGGAATCAAGYTCTGGAAAACTCTCACTGTAACATTACAGAGGAAAAATTAATGGATTCCCTCCCAGTGCTTTGATTCCTGTTTCACAGCACAACAAAAAATAGCCTATTTTTGTTTTTATTTACCTTTTTACCACATTGAGTTTTTTCTTGTTATATTAACAAACCTGTTACCTGGAAAAAGCCCAGAGCTCACATTTAACACAAATCTGCACTAAGAAATGACCCACAAATGAATGACAAGTCTTAGTCCATCAGCCTTCCTGGTTTAGAGTACAAAAAACCAGGAATACTAGTTGGGTTTCTGCATTAAAACAAATTGAAGCAAATTTCTCTCACCCTCATCTAGGGAAGCGAAAAGTAATCCTTAAAATGGAGAGTAGCTACAATCAACAGTATCAACTAATTTTTACTAAGTAGCACGACTGACTTTCAGCACTGCAGCAACCTCAGCTGCAATCACACAATTTAAGAGGCAGAATCCCCCAAAAGGAGGGAGCACAAAAATGCAAAAACTCCTTTGARCAGCTCAGAATTTTTATGACTGTCCCAAACTACGCTTCAGGTAGCCTGAAATAGCTGCAGGAACTCAAACCCAATCCAGCCTTTCAGGAGGTGCCSAGGTAATTCATCCCATCCAGACAAAGGAGAGTTTTGGCTCAGCTGCAGGAAGGACAGCAAAGCTGAGATCTGCTCAGGAGCAGGGACAGCACTCGCACCTCACGGGACCAGGAGCAGCGTCTGTTGTGAGGCCATCACCAGGATAAATAAAGGTGCAGCCAGCACGGGTTGTGCAACTGGAAAAAACACTTCATACCCCCACATCCTGCTCCTGGCTTCCCATGGGAAGGGCACTGTCAGGACTGACACGAAAATCCTCCAATTTGCTCTCGTTTTGAGTGAGGTCTGAAACTATGAGCCAGTGGAATGCAAAAAGCAACAGTAAGAAGAAAAACACAACCTTGCACCAGGATTCCCAACACATCTGTACTATCTGGAGTGGATAATGGATAACTCCTAGTGGGCCCCAAGTGTGCTCAAGTGTTATTCCAGACTCSAACACAGAAATCTGCAAATTCAGTCACTGCTGATGCCAGCAAATTGCCATTGGAGCTCTCCAGATGGTTGTACCATTCGAATTAAATTTGTCAAAATATTCTGTGTGGATGTCTGATGACCTGAATGAAAATATCCAACTCAGAATCTCCCTTTTGAGACTCCTTACATAATACATTGTTCATTCCTCAAATACTAAAGCAGTCTACAGGATAAAGTCTAAAAGCCAGCTTTGCTGCCATCACAGTTGTGCATTTTTTTAACCTGTCCTGATGTTATTTCCAGCAGTCAATTCAGCTCTCCAAAGCACATTTTATACATACACAGCACCCCTGCAGCTCTCGAAGAGCAGCAGTGCGAGTATTTAAATTGCACTTGTTTTGTAAATAYTACCTAGCAAAGGGAAAACAAAATTTACCAGCACTGCCAAGAGATTAAACATCTTTCTGTATGCYAACAGATGGTCCACTGACTCCAGTGTCATTCTGAACTTGTGAGCTGCTGCTGTAGGGAGCACCATGCAAACAGAATCATTCTGGTTGCTCAAGTGACTGAGAAAATGCCAGTACCTGACAAAATCCGACTTGAGAACACGCCTTCCATGATTTTAAATCAGATTCTTTGCATTTAGGATGAAAGGAATAGAATAGTTGTGAAAGAGCAGAACCAAACATGGCAACAAAACTAAAATGAGTGGCATATAACAGCCAAGTCTTCTTTGYTCACAAGTGTATTTTATCTGAATTGCCATGAATAACCAAAAAAGCCAGTGGTAGCCAGTATCCAAATCCAAGAATGCAGTAACTCTTTATAAATTAAAGAAAATACCATTTTTGTCACAGAAAGACAAAACCTCAACCACTGCAACTGGATTCCACATCCACTTGTACCTTACTTTAGGCCAGACCTTTTTTCCTTCTCTGTTGCATTAACTACAAGAGTACACTACCTTTGCCACCAACAGAAATCAACATATCCCAAGTATTCCTAAGAAGTTCCTCATCAG